AAAAAAAAAAAAAAAAAAAAGAAAGAAAGAAAGAAAGTATATGGTTAGGTCTGTTTGGGCGTTTATAAGGATATTTTGAATGTCCAAATTGTATGGACATTTGTTTCGGCTGTAAATTCATATGTTTATTAGCCTTGCTCTTTTGTCTGGCTTTCCTCTCAGTTTCCTCTTCAGTTGAGACAATTGGTCAGCAAGACTGACCAAATTATGAGGTTTGAGAAGTGGCCCAGCTAGGGCTTTGTCTTTTCACCATTGGTGCTAATTCTTCATCTAACGCATTTATAAAACTGGAGTTGAGAAGAGTATCATTTTGATTATTAACATAGCTTTCCTCAGATAAACCTGAATATCGTTTAAGTGTACTTAAACCTCTCAAAATGTGACATTACTGACTCCTCCGGATTTTGTTGACATTGTATTTTGCTGCAGCCAACTACTCTTTGAAACACAGTGAGGATGGCTTGAAGCAACACCTTTGCAGTTTGTGTGTCTGCCTACAGTCCTCTTCTGAGCATTTATGAAAATCTTCTAAGAGATTTCTATAATGGGCTTTGTTCTAATCTTTTTTTTTTTTTTTTTGAGACGGAGTTTCACTCATGTTACCCAGGCTGGAGTGCAATGGCGCGATCTCGGCTCACCACAACCTCCACCTCCTGGGTTCAGGCAATTCTCCTGCCTCAGCCTCCTGAGTAGCTGGGATTACAGGCACGCACCACCATGCCCAGCTAATTTTTTGTATTTTTGGTAGAGACGGGGTTTCACCATGTTGACCAGGATGGTCTCGATCTCTTGACCTCGTGATCCACCCGCCTCGGCCTCCCAAAGTGCTGGGATTACAGGCTTGAGCCACCGCGCCCGGCCTGTTCTAATCTTTAACTCTACTTTCTGATACTCACATGTGAGTTAGTTGATATGAATCAGAATAACCAAGGCCATAAACTCAGATACTTAGTTCAAATTCCTTAGCAAAACCAATAGGACCCTGGCGAGGGTCGGGGAATTATTTAACTCTGCGTCTAAGTTCTACCTTAGACCATGGTTGATAAACTAAAGCAGGCTCCCCTCTACCAGATGCTGGATGTTCATGAAATGGAGTCAAAAAAGTGGGAGCGGGTGTAAGGGGAGGAGAAGGAAGAGAAGGTCAGTCTGGGCAAGGTAGTTCTGTTAAGGAGGCATAGAAAGAAGGGGTAGCAGAAGGAGGAGAAGCAGCAGTTTCAGCAGCTTTTCTGAATTAACAGTTTTAGAGAGTTTTCATTCTCTTTCTATAGGAAAAGAACTGTGTCACAGCCTCTTTTGCATGCTTCTCTGTAGCGTTGGAAATAACTCTCCCAATTATATTGTTTAATTCTAGAGCTGGCGTTTTCTAATTGTGCATGTGAGCAAACTAACTTAGGCATTTCACAAGTACCTCACTTTGGCCATTGTAATTCAGGATCTTCTTGGCTCAAGCAAGACAATTTTTCCAAATATTGACAGGAGGTAGCTGGAGGCATTGGCTCACACCTGTAATCCCAGCGCTTTGGAAGGCTAAGACAGAAGGATCACTTGAGCTCAGGAGTTTGAGACAAGCCTGGATGACACAGTAAGACCAAAAATTCATAAAAGAAAAAACTCAAAAAATTAGCCTGGCATGTGGGTGTGCCTCTTGTGCCATCCACTTGCATCGGGAGGCTGAGGTGGGAGGATTGCTTGAGCCCCAGAGATGGAGGTTGCAGTAAGCTGAGATAGCACCACTGTGCTCCAGTCTGACAGAGCGAGACCCTGTCTCATAAAACGTACCGACACGCATATATACATACGTATCAATGTATGTAGGTTATGTATAGACAGGAGGTGGCACCATAAGTCTTGTACATAAATTCAGCTAGAGTTTCTAAAAGGGGGTCTTCCCTTAAAGAGGATTTCATTTTAGATGAACAGTTGTTCATAATTTGTATCCTCTTTTAAATTGACCAAAGATTGAAAGAGAAAGATGTTTTGGGTCTAGTGTGCTATTTAATAGTGATTACTTCTCAAGGTTTCACCCACAAGTCACCTCTCCCCTCTTATGTGTCCCAATGAAACCCAGAAATTTCTGGGGGTTTAAGGGACTGGGAGCCCAACCCGTTATGTGTGCCCATTAGGTTACAAAGATTTCCCTGTATATTGTTCTTTGGGATTTCCCTAGAAAAATTACACATCTGAAGCCGTGAACTCCGACATTCCTATATGACCTCCATCACCTAAGGTGCTTTTCTTCTGGGAGGACCAAGGTCTTTTATAACTGAGCTCCAAAACCTGGGTCACCAACCTGGGTCCAGTTTAAGACCACAATCAAATTTTTTTTTTTTTTTGAGTCAGAGTCTCACTCAGTTACCCAGACTGGAGTGCAGTGGCACGATCTGGGCTCGCTGCAACCTCCATCTCCCAAATTCAAGTGATTCTCCTGTCTCAGCCTTCCAAGTGGCTGGGATTACAGGCGCACCCCACCATGCCGAGCTAATTTTTGTCGTTTTAGAAGAGATGGGTTTTTGCCATGTTGGCCAGGCTGGTCTTGAACTCCTGGCCTCAAGCGATCTGCCTGCATCAGTCTCCCAAGTGCTGGGATTACAAGTGTGAGCCACTGGGCCCAGCCGAAAATCACAAATTTACCTGAAGCCACAAACATTCACTTTCTCTTTTCAGGGAGGAACCAATTTTGTTCTCTGACCAAATTTGAATGACAGAAAGGGCCATACAAAGTCTTGCAAGTAGTTCAACAAACAAACCTTAACCTCAAAGAAAACTGAACGTCATAAATCTGTGAAAGGCAAAACAAGCAAACAAAACTTCTAACTTAAAGTAGAGCGTCAATTCCAGCTCTGTCCAGCATAGAACTGGATGGCTTGCATGAAGTCTGAATCTCAGTCAAAGTCAGGGAGATTCAAAACCTGAGAGTAGTCTTGCCAGGGACCCCTGCCAGTTCCAATGAGGTGGGATGAGCCAAAGCTGCTCCTGCAGACACCAAAGCTCCGAATGTCAGCAAAGAGGCACAGATCTCAGGAGGCCCGCTTAAAGTCTCTGGGTTATCAAAATATCAATCTAATATAATCAAATGGCTCAGCATCCAGTTAAAAGAGCTTATTCAAGTGCAAAGTGTGAGAGCAGCCATCAGGTAAACACAGACACCAAAGAAATAATAGTAATCAGTGTTCCCCGATGTAGGGAAAGGTGAGGGGGGTTTATGTAGGGAACCACAGGTGTGCTGTACAGAATAACAGCGTTTTCTGTATAAAGCTAGTATACACGGAAGTTTTAATTCACTACCATTGATTACACTCGAAGGCGGTTGTTTAATATTCTGTTGTAAAGAGGTAACAATCACAAGAGTCTTCATCTCCAACGTCATTTAGCCTAGGTTTGAATAAAGAATGGAGAGCCTGGTTAATGTATAACATCAACAAAAAGGTCAGGAAGCAACAGTCATACACCAGAGAAGAAAAACAGCCAGGCTATGTGACTTGGTTCCCAGGGCTTGACTCTTCCCTTTGGCATAATAAATTTGGAAGGTCCTGAAATTTTCTTTCTTTTTTTTTTTTTCACAGTAACAAGTTGGGCAAACTGAGGTAATTCTCCAAACTGAACGTAAGTAATTGTGGCATTGTTGAGTTACATTACATACCCTCCTGAATAACTGGCCTATGGAGATTCAAGTATACCACGAATTCATGGAAGGCAGGGTTTTTTTTGTTTGTTTGTTTTTGTTTTTGTTTTTTTAAGACAGAGTTTTGCTCTGTTGCCAGGCTGGAGTGCAGCGGCACAATCTCAGCTCACTACAGTCTCCACCTCCCGGGTTCAAGCAATTCTCCTGCCTCAGCCTCCCAAGTAGCCAGAACTACAGGCACACATCACCACACCCAGCTAATTTTTTGTATTTTTAGTAGAGGTGGGATTTCACCATGTTGGCCAGGCTGGTCTGGAACTCCTGGCCTCAAGCAATCTGCTTGCCTTGGCCTCCCAAAGTGCTGGCATTACAGGCATGAGCCATCATGCCTGGCCTGGCAGGTATGATTTCTTAGATTCTTTTGCATAATCTTCATTCTTTGGCAACCCACCACCACACCCTGCCCCGCTTCCCCATCACCCCCCTGCAATCACTTGGTGAGTAAATGAATGACTAGATATCTTAATTCACTGATTATATATGTATTTTTATATATATAGAAAAACATCAATATACAGAGACACATAGAGACAGCTACATATATAGATTTCAGAGAAGCACGAATTCACCCTTTTGGTGCCACATTTCAGAATTATCCCTATATTTGGTTGAATTTCAGACAAAAATTACTTTTAGCTCCCCTTTACAGCAGAATGTTCTTGTAGGGGAGTGAAAAATGACTTCCCTCTACTCTTCTAAGTTCCTTGGCTGAGCTCTGAATTAAATTGACATAAGACAGATTTACAGGAGGAAATCCATTTTTAATTATGTACATACCCATGCGAGTCCCACAAAATATGAGATTCAAAGAAGGGTCAGATGCTTGAAGCTCATATCGCACCCTGAGCTACAGAAGGGAATAGAGGCTTTGGGCTTCTGGGTGGGGGGTGGTGACACCAGTTATGGGAATATGAGGGGAGGAAGTGTATGGTGAACAAAGGTTGTCTTGTTATGCAAATAAAAAGCCTCCTAAGTAATAAAGGTTCTCTTGGAGCAGCCCTCAGAAGAAGAGATGACTGTCTAGGCATGGTGTCAACCTCCAGCCTCCCCTTCTGTGATCCAAGTTAATCTTCCCTGGTTGATAAGGTTCCAGGGGAGGGGATTCTTGATAACTGAGTTCCTTTTGGAGGATCCCTTGGTCTGACTTAGGCAGATAAGCAGAGCTCAGAGAAAGCCTCTGCCTGCATCTACTGTTCCCGAAGTGTCATCAGTTCAAAGTAATGAGCATGTCAAAGCATCATATTTTGGGGTGGCATTTCAGAACTCCCATTGTACATTTTTGGTGATAGCTTGATAGATTATTTAAATTACCATAAAACCCACACTTTTGCCGGGCGCGGTGGCTCACGCCTGTAATCCCAACACTTTGGGAAGCGGAGGAGGGCAGATCACGAGTTCAAGAGATTGAGACCATCCTGGCTAACATAATGAAACCCCATCTCTACTAAAATACAAAAAAATTTGCTGGGCATGGTGGTACACACCTGTAGTCCCAGCTACTTGGGAGACTGAGGCAGGAGAATTGCTTGAACCCAGGAAGCGGAGGTTGCAGTGAGCTGAGATAGCTCCTCTGCACTCCAGCCTGGCACTTGGTGGCAGAGCAAGACTGTCTCAAAAAACAAAAACAAAAAACCCCCACACTTTTAAAGTTTGAGTGGCTTTTAATATATTTGCAGTGTGGATCCATTATCACTATCGAATTCAAGGACACTGTTATCACTCCAGAAAGAAACCCCACACCCGTCAGCAATCACTTGCTTTTTTCTCCTCTCCTCCCAGCCTCTGGCAACTACTAATCTTTTTTGTCATTATAGATTTGTCTATTCTGGACATTTTATATAAATGAAATCATATAAATGGAGGTCCATATATCATACAGCTAAATGTTGGAAAATTTTAAATCAGCTTAGCAAACTGTTAAATAAAATGTTTTTTCCTCCTTCCTTGACAAATATACTATTATAAAGAAGGTCAGGCTCCAATTTAGAATTCTCAGACTTCTCAAAATTCTGTTGTGGATGTGGCAATGCAGAGCGATCCAGCCCCAGCCCTCAGCCCGCAGCCCACCTCTTTTCACTCTAGGTTCTGTCCCACACCATGTAGGGCTTTGTGCATATGCGTGGACACCCAGCCCACAAACTCAAGCTGTAGTCACCCAACTCACCAGTGATCTGTCATTTTCTGATAGACCTAAAGGGAGGACTGACCCAAGGAAGAGACCCATCTAGGTATGGAAACAGGCTTGGGGTTGCATTAACAGGGAATTCAGAGTTTTGGGCACCACAGCATGGTTAGGAGAGGTACAGGGACCCCTGAGCTCCATGGACTTTTCATACCTGGTTTAGGGTGTGGCCACAGCACAGACCCCAGAGCAGGGGCTCCTCCTGCCAGGGTCTAAAGCACTGATGATACTATAAACAACCCTGCTGAATTTCCTAAATCAATTGATATGACCACTGACTTCCAACAGTTGGGTGTAGCTTTAAATCTCTAAATCCTGGTAGAGACTGAACTGTAGCTGTAGTTACGAAGAGCAGAATATGACACTGAGTGTACTTGAGAAGAAGTTATTATTCCTAAGTACAGCTCTAAGAATCACATAGGTATTATGAAACACATAATAACATAGGCACACAAAACCTGGTTGCATAGGTAACAGTCAAACTTGGAACTTGCAGCTTCATTACAGTTGTAACACAGCAGTGGATTCTGAGGGACTGTAAAACATAGGCCGGGCACGGTGGCTCAAGCCTGTAATCCCAGCACTTTGGGAGGCCGAGGCGGGTGGATCACGAGGTCAAGAGATCGAGGCCATCCTGGTCAACATGGTGAAACCCCGTCTCTACTAAAAATACAAAAAACATTAGCTGGGCATGGTGGCGCGTGCCTGTAATCCCAGCTACTCAGGAGGCTGAGGCAGGAGAATTGCCTGAACCCAGGAGGTGGAGGTTGCGGTGAGCCGAGATCGCGCCATTGCACTCCAGCCTGGGTAACAAGAGCGAACCGCCTCCAAAAAAAAAATTAGAAAAAAAAAACATAATCCAGGTTTTGATGATCGTAGGACTATATAAATTTGTTAAAAAGCATTGAACAGGCCAGGCACAGTGGCTCACACCTGTAATCCCAGCACTTTGGGAGGCCAAGGTGGGTGGATCACAAGGTCAGGAGTTAGAGACCAGCCTGAGCAACATGGTGAAACCCTGTCCCTACTAAAAATATAAAAATTAGCCAGACATGGTGGCATGTGCCCCTAATCCCAGCCACTCAGAAGGCTGAGGTAGGAGAATAGCTTTAACCTAGGAGGTGGAGGTTGCAGTGAGCTGAGATTGTGCTACTGCACTTCAGCTTGGGCAATAGAGCAAGACCCCATCTCAAAAAAAAAAAAAAAAAAAACTCAGAATTTTACACTTTTGATAGGTGGATTAACAGTAACGTTAACAAACAAATTAATTCTACTCCTCCTCTCAGCCAAGGGTATTCCAAAGTTAACCTGAAAAACTAGTTCAGGCCATGATAGGAAGGGGGAGCTGGACATACCTCCTTATACCCTCCTCACTTTTGGAATTACTGATATAATAGACTCTTTAAATCTGATAAGAAACATTTATTGGCTGGGTGCAGAGGCTCATATCTGTAATCCCAGCACTTTGGGAGGCTGAGGCAGGCGGATCACGAGGTCAAGAGAACACCATCCTAACTACCACGGTGAAACCCATCTCTAGTAAAAATACAAAAAATTAGCTGGGCGTGGTGGTGGGTGCCTGTAGTCCCAGCTACTTAGGAAGCTGAGGCAGGAGAATTGCTTGAATCGGGGAGGCGGAGGTTGCAGTGAGCTAAGATCATGCCACTGCACTCCAGCCTGGGTGACACAGTGAGACTCTGTCAAAAGAAGGAAAGAAAGAAAAAAAGAAAGAAAGAAGGAAAGAAGGAAAAGGAAGGAAGGATAAAGAAAGGAAAGAAAAGGAAGGAAGGAGAAAGAAAGGAAAGAAAAGGAAGGAAGGAAGGAAAGAAAGAAAGGAAGATTGATATATTATCTATTCTCTCTGAAGTCTGCTACCTGGAGGCTTCATATGCATGATAAAACCTTGGTCTCCACAACCCTTATTGTAAACCAGACATTCCTTTCTATTGATAATAACTCTTTTGGCCGGGCATGGTGGCTCACGCCTGTAATCCAAGCACTTTGGAGGCTAAGGCAGGCGGATCACCTGAGGTCGGGAGTTCAAGACCAGCCTGACCAACATGGCGAAACCCCATCTTAAAAATGAATAAATAGGCCAGGCGCAGTGGCTCAAGCCTGTAATCCCAGCACTTTGGGAGGCCGAGGCGGGTGGATCACGAGGTCAAGAGATTGAGACCATCCTGGTCAACATGGTGAAACCCCATCTCTACTAAAAATACAAAACATTAGCTGGGCATGGTGGCGCATGCCTATAATCCCAGCTACTCAGGAGGCTGAGGCAGGAGAATTGCCTGAACCCAGGAGGCGGAGGTTGCGGTGAGCCGAGATCGCGCCATTGCACTCCAGCCTGGGTAACAAGAACGAAACTCCGTCTCAAAAAAAAAAAAGAATAAATAAATAAATTAAATAACTTTTCCAACCAATTGTCAATCAGAAAATCTTTGAATTCACCTATGACTTGGAAGCCCCTACTTCTAATTGTCCCACCTTTCCAGACCCAACCAATGTACCTCTTACATGTATTGATTGATACCGTGTGTCTCCCTAAAACGTAGAAAACCAAGTTATCATATGCATGATAAAACCTTGGTCTCCACAACCCTTATTGTAAACCAGACATTCCTTTCTATTGATAATAACTCTTTTGGCCGGGCATGGTGGCTCACGCCTGTGTGCCCGCCTTGGGCACAATGTTCTCAGGATCTCCCGAGGGCTGTGTTGCAGGCCATTGGTCACTCATATTTGGCTCAGAATAAATCTCTTCAACTATTTTACCTCTTTTTGACTAGTTCGACTCTTTTTATCCAGGGTAAGTAAATTGTATCTCGCTAAATCTGGTTTTGTTTGTTATTTTATTTTATTTTTTATTTTTTTATTGTACTTTAGGTTCTGGGGTACATGTGCAGATCATGCAGGATTGTTGCATAGGCACATATATGGCAATGTGCTTTGCTGCCTCCATCCCTCCATCACCTATATCTGACATTTCTTTTAAAGATAATCCAGCCCAGAGTTTAGAGTGCTGCTCTGGAGTCTCTGTTTCTCTAATTCAGCCCTGATACACAGTGACACTGACCCTAGGTCCTTAGAAACCACTGTAAAAATGACATCCCTGTCATTCACAGGGCCATGAGTTGTTGAGGGAGTGCCAAGGCACTAAATTTTGGCATTTCCTGCTAGGGGTTGATTTTCCTTAAGGAAAAAAAATCTCATGGAAGGAAGAATCCTCCACTCTCTGCTGCAGAGCCACAGTCATATTCGTTGGCTCTGTTTGAGGGCTGTCCATTTTTTCTTTTTTTGTTTCCTAGGTTTACAAATATTCTGCCTTACCAACAAAAGAATGTTTTGTTTTTTCTTAATAGCGATTGTTCCCTGTGGAAAAAAAGAAGGCTTTAAAAACCATATTTTGACTGGGTGCAGTGGCTTACACCTGTAAGCCAAGCACTTTAAGAGGCCAGAGGTGGCAAGATTGCTTGAGCTCAGGAGTTCAAGACCAGGCTGGGCAACATAGTGAGATGCCAGCTCTACAAAAAATAAAAAATTAGCTGGGTGCAGTGGTGTGCACCCATAGTCCTAGCTACTCTGGAGGCTGAGGTGGGAGGATCCCTAAGCCCAGGACTAGGCTGCAGAGAACTATGATCCCACCACTACACTCCAGCCTGGGTGACA